GAAGAAGAAGAAGAAGAAGAAGAAGAAGAAGAAGAAGAAGAAGAAGAGTAGTGACTTAATGATATGAAAAATATTTTGAACTAGGTAATATAACGGACAATTCTAAACAGCACCTACAAGGAAAAAAGGAAATTGATGTAATTGTGACAGGAAGCAGAGGAGGAAGAATGACCTTGAATCAGAATTTAGGATAAAGAGCTAAAATGAGTGATGAACAGACTAAATAAACCAGAGAATGGACTGAAAGTGGCATGTGATAAAATGAACATTTATTATCACATCTTTAGAAATAAACCCCAGAGCAAACACAAGGAAGAGTAAAGCTGTCATGTTGTTTCTCCATTTGGTGTGCTACAGTAGAAGGTAAATGATTATACCATGAAAACAGAGTGTGAGAGAGCTTTGAGAGGTGGAGCCATCTTCCCTGAGCAAGAGCTATGTGCAGACCAATGCACCTGTGCAGAGACCTTGTCCCATGGTGAAGTCATGATGCCAAACTGTAGCCCAGCATGCACCTGGAAGTCTTCAACCACCTGCCGGGAAGAATTAATTCCAAGTTCACACTCAGAATCTAACTTGTATTAATTCCTCTGTACTTCTAAACTTTGTAATAAATACCCACTGTGGAATATTAATTAAGGCTTGTACTGTGTATTTTTTCATACACATCTTCAGATTAATCTTTCAGATAAAGACAATATGTGGTATCTGTGAATGCTTTTCACACACACACACACACACACACACACACACAATCTAAATGTCTTAAGATGTATATGCCTGGCTGAGAAACAGAAACTTGAGATCTCATAAAGTACAGATGAATAGCAATACGGTAGTAAAAGGAATAAGGTAAAGGTTATAGAAGAACAATAATGCAATGAAGTCTACAGTGATGATGAAAATATTTTAAATTACTCTGGAAATGCTACCTTTTTAAAACTTTAAAAACAAGAAAAGTTGGCCAAAATTCTAATGTGTGTTTTTCTGTTGTTGCTTGATCTCTTTCTAGGTTCCAGGTGCAGAGAAGTGTAACAGACCCTCAAAGTTATAAAAGCCTAAGAGACAGCTTTCGGACGATCTTCCGGACAGAGGGGTATGTGATGTCTTTTGTACACGGTCTGTATATTGATACGGTCATTTTAATGTATTTCTAACTTGACAAACATTTTTGTTTCCATAGTTTGCTTTCCTGCCCTAGTCTTAGTAGGAAAAACATTCTAAAAAGTGTGCTTTTGTATTTTGTTTTATATTTTCCTAATTTGAATGAAAACCAAATATGTATATAGTGGAAACTACTTCAGAGAATATCAGTAACCAATCTGATGAGTCAAGGGTAATTTATAACTTATGGTTCTAAGGCTATGAAGTTTTCTTAATTGGATTATCTAAACATAATGATGACTTTTACTTGGGGACTTAAATATAATACTCAAATTCATTCCTTGTTTACATAAAGGTTTAAGAATCTATAATCAAGGACCCTCACAGCCTTTCTCTCTAACCCACCTTCATTTCCTAGAGTCAGCCACTCATTCACAGAAACGCTTTCTACCCGGGACCCCTCAGTCACTGTCCTGGACTTAGACTCATGTAGATGATTTTCACTGGCCTTCCTGTCTTCTATTACCATCTCTCCAGACTTGCTCTTAGTTCTGGAGAACCCTTCTTGCTGGAGCCCATTCTCATTCCACCTCCTGGTGCCAATCCCAGACTCCCTCTTTCCCATGGTCCCTCTCAGCCTTTCTTTGTAGTCCATGTCCAATTCCTTATCACTCTCAGACCTTCAGAAGCACTGTCTCTCTCTGGGACCACAAAGCCACCATTCTTGCTTAGGATCCATGGCAAGAGCGACCAAAGAACAAACAAAGCCCAGATATTGACCCCAAGAAACACCTCAAATTATGTAACTCTAGATACTTAGGCCCCAGCACAAAAGACCAACATGAACACCTCCTCCAGAAGTCAGAAACATTATTGCAGCAGGCCCTGAGAAATGCAATTCAGCACAAGAGAAGGACTTCAAAAATAGAAGTTATGAATATGATCAAGGTCTTTAAGGAAGAATGAATAAATCCCATAATGAAGTCAGTGAAAGCACTAACAGTTGAACAAAAAATGAAAATAAGACACGAAAGCAGAATGTAACAAAGAAATAGAACCACTAAAGAAAACCCAACCTGAAATAAATCTGCAAAACTTAAGGATGTCAAACACAAACTTCAGAGGTAAGATTTCACCTTTAGAGGTAAAACTCACTCACGGATTATAAAGCATGGGAAAAAGAATCTCGGGGGTTGAGGACAGGTAAAAGAAATGGGTCCCTCGGTCAAAGAAAACATCAGAACTAATAAGAACAAATAAGAGAAAACATGCAGTGTTTATCTTTCTGGGTGTGGATCACATCCCTCAAAATCCTGTTTTCTAGTTCTATCCATTTACCTACAAGTTCCATGATTTCATTTTCTTCTCACAGCTGAATAGTACTTCACTTTCTAGATGGACCACATTTTTTTTTCTATTTTATAGCTATTGTGAAGAGAGCAGCAGCAAATATGGCCGAGCAAGAGTCTATCTAGTGGGACGACAAGTACTATAGTCATGTGGTAAATCTCTTCTTAGCTTCTCAGGCGTTCTCCATGCTGACTTCAGAGTCACTGCGCCAATGGTAAAGCATAGTTCCCCTCCTTTTTCTATTTCATCATCAGAGTTTGTCACCAATTATTTTCTCAATCTCAACCATTCTGGGTTAAGACAAGATCTATAGTGTGTGTGTGTGTGTGTGTGTGTGTGTGTGGCACCCATGTGCACATAAACCACCACAGCATGTATGTAGAGGTCAGAGGATGACTTGTGAAAGCTGCTTCTCTCTTTCCACTGTGTAGGCTCCAGGGACTGAACCTGGGCTGTCAGGACTGTCTGCACATGTTTGTACATCAGTGTCAATTTTTAACAATATTATCATACTTACTCAGAATTCTCCATGCAACTCTATGAGGTAGGACAGATAAAGGAACTGAGACTTCAAGAGGTTAGCAGTAAGTGTTAGGGACAGGATGCAAATCAAGGTCTACTTAAGCTGAAAGCCCAGGCAGTTCACCGTTGAACTCAATACCTCATTTGTCAGGTGACACTTTCTGTAGGAGGACCTAAGGTGGGAGGAGTAAGGAGAGGAAGAGGAAGAGTAGGGAGAGGAAGAGGAAAAAGGAAGAGGAGGAGCTAGAGGGGGTAGAGATGTAGGAGCAATGGAGAGCCACACAGGTATGAAGAACAGTCGCGGGTAACAACTTTTATTTAGATTAGCTAATTGGGAAACAACTCTTTGTATGGGCATATTGTTATTGAGCATTACCAAACATATAAAGCCTTTGATTAATCTCTAATCATTAGAGTCTTATTTTATTACTGGGCCTGCATGGATGGTGGGATGGTCTGGGCAATGCCCAGCCTTGCGGAGACAGCGAGGAAGATTGGCAGAGCCATCGCCCACGCTGGAATCTCGTGGGTGGCAGGGCTGGTGTTTCTGGCTGGCCAGTTCTAGCTGCTGCGCGCGTGCCCTGTGGCCAAGAAACATGGCGGCTGAGACAGGCATGGTATGCAGAGCTGTTACTAGCACTCATACCTTCCTCTTCAGACTCATTTCCATACACAGATGTGCTATAGGAAAAGCCAGCGGTGTGAGGGCTTCTCATCTCTCACTCTTAGAGCTTCTGCAAGTTGTCTTTCTGGAACTCCTAATCCACCCTCTTCATTCAAAAGCGACTTCACACGTCAGCGCCCCTGACCACCTTTTCTCTGGCATACGCTGAATCGTTTCCCTTTTGCCCGCATATATATGCTGCATAAAATCGGCTCTGTCTCGAGCATCCTAAACCCTCAAAATATGTTTCCCTAAAGGCTATTTCTCATTTAGCTTTGCATTCCCGAAGCAGTGTTTGGTCTGAGGAGAGACAGTATAAGTATACTAAACACATGATTGGAAGTCCTCCTAGCTGTACTCTACTGCTGTAAATCAAACTGAGAAGATGAATCACGCTGTGGTCCACACTCTCGGGCATGTGATAACAAGGAGGCAGACATTGCCATCATACTTGTATTTATTATAAGGGTTGTAAATGGTGCTTGCTTTGCTCAATAGATATATAAAATTAAATAAGTCATAGCATATTATTTAGTCACTGAGATGTCTCCCTACAGAAAGAGTCCTGGTAGCATTAACAAGCTCTGTAAACTGTAATGTATATCTCTCAATTAGACGCGGGTGATCCTTAGCCAGGCTCTTTACTTCATTTATGTTTTAGGGAAAACTGATGTCTCTGCTTTGATATCAAATAATACAGCAAACACACAGTGTGTGTGGTCCTTGTGTAACAAAATTGGCCTTTTCCTATACTGTATGTATAATTGCTTCTACAGCAGATTGGCATTTCTCTGCAGTGCCTGCAGATCTGGACATGCTGTTGCCCAAAGATCAGAGGGTTCTGTTCTTAGAAATGGAAATATTTGTTAAATTAAAAACAAAAAAAAAATACAAAGGAAAGGGCAGCATGTAGATTTTGATACCCAACACGACCATTTAATAGCTTTAAACTAAACAAAGATCAACAAACAAAACTGAATAAAAGAAAAAGAGAAAATTTTAATATATATTATTAACCTTTTCTTACTAAAAGTAAAAGATTTTTATTTCCTTACTTGGTTTTTTGAGTGTACTGTGTTACCCAGCAAGGTTTGCATACTCAGGTGCATATAGGCCTGCTTGAGATCCAAAAGGAAAGCTCTGAATCATTTGATGATCACATCCCTCTAGATTAAAGATGGTGAAAGCTTAAAGACTAAAATCTTGGTATGCCTAGGCTCTGCACACACACACACACACACACACACACACACACACACACACCCGTTCCCTATGTAGGAGTAAGAAGGGCTCTTACTACCTTTCTCAGCGAAGTCTCCAGATTTCGGCATACTATGAAGAAGACCATGCTCAGTCACTGCAGGCTCTGCTCCTTCTACTCTGCGTTTTCTTCTTAAACACATAGTTTGCACTTTTGTTAAAGATGTAGTTTTTAGTCATTCCAGCTTTTAAGAACCACTCGATTTAAAAAAAAAAAAATTAAGCTTTACAAATCCTGGAAATGTTCATCGTTTTTTAATTCTCGTAACCTGCTTTCACCAAAGAGACTACTGCATCTAATGTAAAGAGGGGAACTCAGAAAATGAATATAAGAATTTTGTCCCTGTCACTATGAGGACACCTCCATTGTCACTGTGGTTCTTCCTCTCTCTCAGGTCTCAGAAGTAAACTAACCAAATAGGTCCATCAGCTGTAAGACAGTAATCCTAAAAAACAAAGGGCATAGCCAACTTGATTAATGGTCTTTAAAGCCAATACTTTTCACATGAAAGCTTACCTGAATAACCACGCCTGGCATCCAGGTCTCCGTGTGTCCCCGCTACAGGCCTTCCTGGCATCCCTGTTTATGTCTGTCCCTGCAGAAGGTGATCCTCACAGGAGAAGATGCTATTTTTACTCCTCAGTTGAGCTGAGCCCTGCAGAAGGAAGCAGGAGAGAAGAGCAGAGAGCTAAAATGTTCCAATTCAGCGGAAAGAGGAGGGGGTTATGTCAATAAACCCAAGATATGTGCCCACCTCCGCCCCCAATTCTCTAGTGTCTATTCTTCCTGAAATAAAGAGAAAACAGGAATTTAACAGAACTTAACTTATCCTGATAGGACATGGAAAACAAGACAATCTGTAAATTCGTCAGCGTTGCTTGCAGTGTACCAGGATTTCTCGTATGTTATTGTCAACACTGCTTATCAACACGTCATTGTCATTGTGTATTTTGTGTGAGGTCACTGAAGATCGGAGAAGTTAGTGACCATGTCACAACTATGGTTTTTCTTCTATTGTACTGTGTTGCTTTTCACAAAAAAACAAAAACACATCTTATTACTTATTGATTAGAAAGATGATATAGAAATAGTAGGTATAAAGTTACAATCTTCAAGTAGCTATTATATAATTTTTTGGCATTTCTGCTTTCAAATCACACAGCAATTTAAATCATCCTTTGTCTCTTCCTTAAGT